AGGTACTTAATGAATTTGGTGACCATCTGTTTGAATAATTTTAATCAAAATGTCTATTTGTAGACCCTGCACTATCTTTACCTACTATGTACGTTATTGCAGCAATATTTAAACCAGAATTTTTGAAAAGTACAAAAATGTACTCTAGAGCATAGTATCTTCGAACAGTCCAAAAGTTTGTCATACATTTTTTAAATCTTACAAAAGGTTTTGATGCTCATCATCAGGGATGCAAGTTTTATAAAAACTATACACAAATATCATAAATACCATTGTTAACTTACATTTACTGTTATTTTTTGTAAATTTATTTCATTCATTTTCAGCTTTATTTTGCCACTTTTCTATGAAATATATTAAACTCTGCTTTAGACAGTTATTAGGTACCTATTTATTACATTTTATTAGGTTTCACACGGTGTTTCAATGTGTAAACCTATCAATAAAACTTTTAATTTCAGAATTTTCTTTAACCTCCTCTTCTTCTTTCACTCAACTGACAGTGACAGTATTTGTACATAACCTCTTCGGGTATTTTCTGACATAACCGAATGAAATCATTAACAAGACAACTTGACAACAGGGTAATTTTCAACCAATAGAAATCTTAGAATGTTGGTCACATGGCGGGGATTGTGACGTCATAAAAATTTATATTTTTTGTAAATATCTCGAAAACGGTAAACTCAATTGAAATTCTGATTTCACAGAAATGTTTAATATTACAAAACGCCTTGAATAAAACCATAAAAAGTATAGGTCAGAAAAAATTTAACTACCCCATTATAAACAATATTTTTTTATAAAAAATTTGAAAATTTTCCAGGTAAAACTGAATTATTTGTTTAATTTATTTATGATATATAAATACAAAATTAAAAAATTAATTATAGAAACCCCCTTGCCCCCCGGAACCTGAGGTAAAATTTGTTGTAGAAAAAATTTAATAAAAAAAATTCTTACTTAGCAATGTGAAAACCCAAACTGCCCTTCAAAGGTAAAATATAGTTTTTTAAATTATAAACAATATTTAAAAAAAAATATTTTAAAAAATTTGCAAATATTCCTTCAAAATCACAGGTAAAAACTGAATTGTTTGTTTAATTTATTTATGATATACAGGGTGTTATGTAATTAATGTTATATATTAAAATGGGTTGTTCCTTAGGGTCCATAAAGAAGCACCTGAAACTTTTTTTTTCTAAATTCCAAAGTCTAAAAATAATTTATAATAACCTTTATCCTACCAAAAAGTACGCCACTGATCGACTAGGAACTTTAGGTTAATCTGGTGGATTTATTATGTTATGGTTGGTAACAACAGTATTTGAAAAATCTCTCAAAAAAGTTGACAAACATTGTTTAAATTTAGCTTAATTACAAAAATGACAAAATTAACAATGCAAATTGTCAATTTGGCGTTTTTATTAATTGTTGGTTATTTCATTTTTGTACTGAAGGTAAATTCAAACAAAATCTGCCAACTTTTATGACAGAATCTAGTGCATTTCTTTTAAATTTTAGGTTATGTTTTCAAATTGTAAATATCTTAACTAAGGGATTTATTTACACAAATTAAATGTTTAAAGTTTAACCTGTGAACTGGTCCCAATTTCATCTGAGTAAACAGAGAAAAAAACTGATGAAAAAATTAATTTTGTGGTTATGGATTTCAAATTTCAAAGGTACTAAATTTTCTAATCATTGCTTAAGCTAATAGCTGGATCAGTAAATAAATACAGAAGGGTATTAGAGCTTTAAGGGCATAAAACTTTTGTATTTATTGAGTTTTTATTTATTTTTTGCAAGAAAAATTTTTAGTAACAATTTTTTACATCTGGCAACGCATAGCTACTTTGTTGGTTGGTATCTATGTACTCACAAAATACAGGTGTGCAGAGGTAAACAAGTGTGTAACCAGTGGCGTATCACAAAAAATATAAAAAACTTCTAATGCATATTTTTTCTTTATCTTTGGAAAAATGTTTTATGTCAAAAGGTATTCAGTATTTTAATATATAACATTAATTACATAACACCCTGTATAAATACAAAATTAAAAAATTAATTTATAGAAACCCCCTTGCCCCCCGGAACCTGAGGTAAAATTTGTTGTAGAAAAAATTTAATAAAAAAATTCTTACTTAGCAATGTGAAAACCCAAACTGCCCTTCAAAGGTAAAATATAGTTTTTTAAAATATAAAAAATAATTTTTACAAAAAAAAACTATTTTAAAAAATTTGCAAATATTCCTTCAAAATCACAGGTAAAAACTGAATTGTTTGTTTAATTTATTTATGATATATAAATACAAAATTAAAAAATTAAATTATAGAACCCTCCGTGCCCCCCCGAAACTGAGGTAAAATGTAGAAAAAATTACATAAAAAAATACATAAAAAAATAATTGACTTACTTAGGAATGTGAAAGCCAAAGCTGCGCTTCAAAGGTAAAATATAGTTTTTTAAATTATAAAAATAGTTTGTTATAAAAAACTCTTATTTTAGAAATCTTCAATTCGTTCTTCAAAATCTCAGGTAAAAATTAGGTTTTCATTTATATAAAATAAAAAATTATTTTTTTATTCTTAGGAATGTGAAAATCCATGCTGTCCTTCAAAGGTAGGTACACAATAGTTTTTAAATTACAAAAAATATATTTTTTTACTCTTATTTTAGATATCTGCATTTTCTTCTTTAAAATCGCAGGTAAATAGTTTAAAAAAAAATTATTTATAAATAAATTACATTAAAATAAAATTATAGAAATCCCTGTGCCTTCCGGAACCTGAGGTAAAATTTTGTGTAAAATAAAAATACATAAAAAAATGGTTTCTATCTTTAATTAGGAATGTGAAAACCCGAACTGCCCTTCAAAGGTAAACCACATACATACGAGGTGTGTTCAGAAAATATCGGGAATTGTTAAATTTCGCGGGTTCGGAGGGTCCGGTTGTCATAAAATTTTCTTTATTATGTTGGTATACATGCCCCCGAAGTATGATAAAAACTTTAGCTGTTTATATTGTTTACTTTGTCTGTGGCAGCCGCTAAGGTTAGACGTGTTTTATGAGCTCGGCGATTTTTCGTTCGTTAGAAGAAATGGATGAAAGAATTTGTATCCAATTTTGCTTAAAAAATGAAATTAATTCTGTGAAATGTTAACAAAGGGGTATAGTGAGTCTGCTATAAGTAAAACAAGAGTTTACAAGTGGTATAAGAGATGGCCGTGAAGACGTTGAAGATAACGAACGCCCCGAACGCACAAGCGCATTAACAACCGATAAAAACATGGAAAAAGTGTAAGAAATGGTTATAAACCATCAAAGAAGTCGCTGATGATGTTGATAAATCGATTGGCTCATCCCATAAAATTTTTTCGAATGTTTTGGGTATGAAACGCGTGGCAGCAAAATTTGTTCTAAAATTGTTAAATTTTGAACAAAATTTTTGGCCAAAAACAGTACTGTAATGATGCCCCAGCCTCCATATTCGCCAGACATGCCTTTGTCTGACTTTTTCCTATTCCCAAAAATAAAGAGAACCTTAAAGGGCCGTCGTTTTGCAAGCATAGATGACATTAAAAGCGCATCGCTGAAAGAACTAAAGGCTATCCCAAAGATCGAGTTTTAGAAGTGTTTCGAGTATTGGAAGAAGAGCTGGCACATGTGCAATGCACATGTGCCAGCTCTTCTTCCAATACTATGCACATTGTGCATAATATCCAATGGAGACTATTTTGAAGGCGACAACATTAATGTAGAAGAATAAATAAATATTTGTTTCAAAAAACGAAAATTCCCGATATTTTCTGAACACACCTCGTATAGCAATATTTTTATCATACAATTTCTTCATTTAGACATATGCAATACCTCCTTCAGAACCTCAGGTATATTTTATAAATATGTGAAATAAAAAAATCAAGAAAAAAAATTATATTTTTTTTAGTGTGATCCTTGCTGCCAATCCAATTCTTTATGTGAAAATCCAACAGTAAGTATTTGTTTGTAAATTATATTATTAATTAAAGATACGCTAAAGAAGCATTAACGTAGGTCGGCTTTTTTTAGAGGACTCAAATATAAAAATATTCAATTTTAAGGTTATGTTTGTGCAACAATTATTTTTGTTAGATTTCTTAAAAATGTCCAAACTTAAATATAAATCATATTAGGTAAAGTTATCATTAGTTAATTTAAATTTACGTACCAAATTGGATCCTTTTTTACAGAAATACGAAAGTTGTCAAAGTGACAGCTGTCAGTTGAAGAAATGCAAAATCCCTGGATGTCCTCAACCAGTGGTACCACAAAAATAACTATAAAAACACATTTATTAAGTTTTACAATATTTTACAGAATAATAATAAAAATATTTGCAAAGAAGCGGTGAGTAATAATAAATCAATAAATAAATAAGGATAAGATTAAAAAAAAAATTATGCTAAGAAAATTCGCATTTATCTAATATTAATTTATTTATTCTTCAGAAATGTCAGGAGGATTGTTCTAAAGTAAAATCGGTAATATGTTAACCAAATACACTGAGAAACAAAATTTTTGACTGTACCGATTTTAAAACAAGACAAATCCACGTTCAAAAATATTGTTGATTTGTGCTTAAAAATCATTTTTAATACGGATTTTATTTTTGTTTTAGAACAATGATACTTGTGGTGATAATAAGGTATGTAAATATAATAAAAAAATTGAGTAATAAACAAATGTATACGTATGATAATTATGCATCACACACAAATTTAAATTACAAAGTAAAAACCTTATTATAGAAATAATTTTACTATTAAAAAAAATAACGAAAATATTTTTTTTAGGTTGAATGCTGTACTTGCAAAGAATATATAAGAAACAATAATGCCTGTGTAAGAAAATTATTAATATTTTACAAAATGCATTTTTTAAATTTTATTATTATTATTATTTTAGACTGAAAGTTCAGATGCCAATGCTGGGTGTTGTGTGAGTAAAAAAATAATGTTTTCAATAAATTTTATTAAAAAATTATAAAGCTCATGAAACATCTACGTATTTACAAATATTTTGAACAATCTCAAATAGTATAATTGCACATGTATAATTTTATTTTGGTTTCTACATTGATATTTAGTAGTGTTGGTCATCTCTGGAAACTAAAAAAAATAAATAAATTTCATATTAACTTTGAATATGTTCATTAGACTGGGCCAAAAAAATCAACTATTTTTTTTTTGAAAAGTATATCGAGTTTAAGTCCATAATATTATTATTAAGAGGTCTATCATCGCAATTTTAGATTTTTTTTTTCCTGAAATAAGAATATTTATCGGTTTTTATGGATACTGATTTTTACATGAATTTCAACATTCCAATTTAAAAGATCAAAATGTAAAACTATACCAATTTTTAAGGCATGATTGTAAGAAAAGGGTTCATCTGACGGAAAATTCCAATCAAACCTTTTTGTAGAGCATTCAATTTTCTTCAAAAAATATTCCTAAGTCAATTTTGTTAAACTCAATGATTTGGAAGTTCTGAGACAAAAACTCGCCCAGGAAAAAAAAATCTAAAATTGCGATGATAGACCTCTTAATATTAATATTATGAACTCAAACTTTTACAATAAATTTTTTTGTCACCCCAAACCATATTTTCGATATACTTAAAAATTTTTTTTTTGTCCCAGTCTAATGTTCATAACATTACCTGATCGCTTGTAAGTCGACATGTCACTCCTTGTTAAATTAACTGATAATCTCTTTGGCTGCGGAGATTCGAACTCTTTGTATGGTGGTGGTAATTCGGTGTGCTCGTAATCGTTGTAAACCCAGCTTAACACCTGCGAACCACTTTCGTCTAGCTCGGGGGAACTTGAAACCTCCTGGACATTCAAAGGCTTCAACTCAATGTCTTTCGACTCCAACCTTGCGGATTTTTTGGTGGGAGAGTCTGTGGTGTCTTTCCCCAAAACCAGGGGAATTTCTTGCCTCTGCAGTGGTGTCACTTCGTAGTAGTTGTTTGCTTCTTCCGGTTCCGCTTCCGGTTCCATCTTTGGTGCAAAGTTCCACATTGCTATGAGGAGTGAAATGGGGAATAAGGTTAGAAGGACCAGGAAGGCTCCCACCCATAAGGCATTCAGAGGTTGTAGGATAATTTTGCAGTTGATTAAAGCTCTATTAAAAACTGATATGAGTGATTCACATCTGCCTATAGTATTTTCGAAGTTTTCACCTATTTTACCAAGGTAAGTTGTGGTCAAAGCTATTGATGACTCCTTATAAGTCTCAGATGTCTTCCGTATATCCTCCATTACATTTCTCACCATATTATCTTGCAGTCTTTCTATATTACTGGACGAACCATCCAGAACACCCCAAAAATTAACATTCTTAAACTCATTTAACTCCATCATAACACTCTGTATACCTTTATACGAGTTGTAGAGCTTTACGTGGAAGTTATTGAAGGCATTCTTCATTTTAGCTTGGAACCCAACCAAATCTGTGTTATCTTCGAGATTTTCTTCCAAACTTTCCTTTGTTAATTTACTCAAATAGTTATACTTATCGCGCAAAGCTAAAATAGGCTCAACTTCAACTTTTATGGCATTCATATTGCTATTGGATCTCACAAGTAACTGTGCTACATTGTCCAGAATAATTTTAACATCCAGTATACTGTCCTCGGGTAATAACTCAAAATCACTATACACGAAAGTATCAGGTTTTAAAATGTCAACATTAAGTTCATTGTCGAATATAAACTTTTTGATTTTTTCGTCTTCACTGTAGTCACTGTAAAAGGTCTTGTTGTAATCACAGTGGTGATAGAATTTGGTCAGCGAGTTGTTTAATCCGTAAGAAGTGTCTACGAATGTTACCAAGTCGGATTTGTTTTTGTTGCATATAGAATTCTGTGTTCCATACCAAAATGAGAATGAGTCTTGTACTAGTAGAGTTAATAGCAACTTTAATACAACGATGCAAAATAACCCAAGGTAGAAAATTATTTTGCCTATCAGCTGTTTTTCAAGGGGGAAGTTGTACATCATCCTGAAAAAAATCAGTAGAACTCCCACCAAAAATAACGTCAATATTGATACCGTCAAAGCTTGATAATCAGCAGATTTATCCCCCAAAACTTCACCATCAGATTGCAGCTGATCCTTCGTTATTTCGGCGAAACTCAATTTTGTATCCCTGATGGCTTTTTTGCTTGCTTTAAAAAACTCGGTGCTGTTTTTTTTGGTGAAATACAAACTCATGTTAAACTTGATCAAATTGTTGATGGTGGTGATGTTTTTTTCCGCGAAAGCGTCCTGGAAAGATTTGACTTTCTGCCCCAAGTTGGCCCTTAATTTTTTCACTGGAAGTTCTGTGAAATTCTCGCAGACATAGTTGAGGTTTTGCATGTTGTTTGTCGCTATGGACATGTTGATTTTCTTAATCTCTTCTATGGTGGTCGTGTTGTAACCATTCAGTTCTTTGAAGTTTTTGCTGAGACGGTTGTTCCATGATTGCGAATCAGATTGGAAGAGTTTCGCTTGTTTTTCCAGCGTGCAGGTTTTGTTTGTGTAGTCTTCCAGTTTGTTGAGTATGCTGATAACTTCCGGATAATACTGGTGAAGGTTGTTGAATTTTTCCAAAGGCGTTTTCATAGTTTTGGCGTAACTTTGGAACAGTTTTTGTTGCTTGTTGTAATAATCACTGTACGTGTTCTCTATTTGGTTTATGAATTCCTTTTCTAATGTTGTGTAAAATACTTCTGTGTCATCTATGCTTTCATCCATATTCTCTGAGTAATTTCTGAAGCCTTTCTGTAATTCAGCGTTACTTATGGCAGTGGAGACAAAACCATACATGAGTGGTATGAATAATATAAAAAGTACAACACTTAAGGCAATGTTGAGGCATTTTGAAGTAACTTTAAATCTCACCAGAAGCACAATGGATATCCCTAGGCTTAACAAAGGGATTATAAACACAAAAACAAAAAAAACAATAGCACTCGAATCGAATTCTTGCATTACTTTTAATCCTCCAGGATGTAAAGTGTAATGTGTATTTTCATTGAATTCCAGCATCACTGATGGGCTTAAATGGGCTTTGAAACCTTGGGAAAACCATTGCGATATTTCGTAAATTGTTTTAAAAGGGGCCACCTCTTCGACACTCTTCATGGCAATAAACAAAAACATTACGCTTTTGAGGAAGCACATCTTCCCCACATTTCCCACTATCAACTACTGAACACAAAGTTTGCTTTAAGCATACGCTTATCTACTTTAGGTAAATACTGATAACGCTGATTGATAGCTAGAGGTGGAAGACCTAATTTTATTGGACCTTGGGTTATTACTTTTTCATCAAAACGCAATTAAATTTAATTGTGACTCACCGCAACACCTTTAACAGGTTAAAGCGAGATTAGCGCAGTCTACAAATATTTACCTAACAATGCTCACTTAACGTTAAGTGAATTTTGGTGCAATTAGACTTTGGCTAGTCTCCCTTGTAATTTTCATACCTGCATTCTTTTCACTACCTTAGAGTATGTAAACATGGAATTAAAAAATTTCCAATTTAATATAAAACTTTTAAATTTTTAAAGGGCTGCTATGGTAAAAAGAAGAAGAAGAAAACCAAAAAAGTAAAACTTGCAAAATTTTTGTCTTTAAAATAATATATGTAATAATTTTAGGCCTCAAATTGTCCCCCGAAAATGTCATGGTATACATTTTAACCAAAATACCAAATAAATTGTCATCCTTTGTTTTTCCTTTATTATTTTTGCATCAGTGTCATTTTTTTAATAAAAAAATCATTAAAATTTGTATAAGTCGTTAACGACTGATATAAATTATTTCAAGGGATTTACATTTTAGATGATTTTATTGGTCAAGCTAATAAAATAAAATAAATAACAACAGTTTTATAAGAAAAATACTGTGTTGCTACTGATATGCTAAATCAGTCGATATAAAGTTTTTTGTTTTGCATACTCAGCTATTTTTAGGTACTATGCTCCACACCTCAAAGTCCCACCACATGACCACGTACGCAACGCAGTCTTTTGAAAATTTGGCATTTAAGGCTTTTCAGGTTATGTATGTGTCAAAGTAAAGTCAACGTTGAAAGAAATAATATTATGTTTAGGCGTTAAAATGTATAAATCTATATAACATTAGAATAACAATGGATGGTTTAAAAATTTAAGAATATAAATACTGCATTTAATGAAACTCTAAAGTGTATGGTGCCAAATAAGTAATATTTTTGTGCATTTGGTCCAAATATCTGGTTTTCTCCATAAAATAATTTTAACTAAACAGCATTTATTAAAAAAACTCTAGCTTCTCTATTATAGAATAAGAATATCTGTATTAAAGGTAGGTTAATATATTATTACAAAAATATCATCTAATTTTGTAATTTTAAGGTTAGAAAAAAATATTTTGATTAAAATAAATAAGTATATATTTTGGATTATTTAAAATACTGTTAATATGGTATTTAAAAATGTGGTAGTTTTTCTTATCCAACTTAAAGTGTACCTACATAAAGTTTTGTCAATACAAATAGTTAAAAAGCTTCGACTGAATTTGATCTACATCAAAAAATCATTATAACTTTAAAAATTTTAATAAATCACATGTCATGGGAGTATTCAATATTTTCACATTGTAAGTTTCTCTAAAAATTGATTGTTTTCTTATAATCTAACTTAAAGTAAGTATGCCAAGAGGTATGCACAAGTTTTGTCGTTAGAAATATAAAAGCTTCAATTTAATTTGAAATACATTCAACAATTATTTAGTATACCTATATTTATTTATGACCATATTAACACACTGTTTCAAATAATCAACTTATTTATTTTGGTCAAAATAGATTTTTTCTAACCTTAAAATACAAAATTAGATGATATTTTTTGTTCTAATACATTCACCTACCTTTGATACAGATATTCTTATTTCATAATAGAGAATTTAGATTTTTTTAATAAATGCTTTTTAGTTAAAACTATTTTATGGAGAAATGTAGACCCAATGCACAAAAATATCACTTATATAATAATAATAATAATACATAACCTGAAAAGCCAAATTTTCAAAAGACTGCGTTCCGTACGTGGTCACGTGGTGGGACTTTGAGGTGTGGAGCATAGTACTTTGAATAAAACAATGCTTCCACAAAATCATAATAAATGTTCAACTACTATATTATCTCCCTAAAGGATGACAATTTATAGGTGAAACCCCGTATTAATAAATTTCATAAATAAATATTTTGTTTAGTGTGAGAAATATCGAATATGTAGAATTTTTGCTAAGAATAACTGAAGATATAATAAGAAGTAACATATATTGTTCTGAAGAAATGTACAAATTGTTTAACAAACATATAGAAGAAAATTCATGTAAAATGACCAAGGTATTGTGTTTTAAAACCGGACATATCCTTTAGGGTGTTTTAAATGAAAACTGTTTAGTGTATCATGATTCAGTACATCGCCAGGCTCTGCGACGAGCTGAAGATACCGCGGTGCAGTTTCGACCCTAAATGTTGCTGCACCAAGTGCAAAATACTGGACAATTTGTTGATAGCAGGAGAGTGCAAATGCACGAGCACAAGCGATCTAGTCACCTGCGGGGAGAGCTGTTTGAAACAATCTAGCAACGGCAAGAAAGCCCAGCCTTCGCGATGTCAGTTTGCAGGTAATAAATATACGGGGTGTCCCCAATTCATGCATCGCAAAAACTTTATTTATGTTTAAGATGAAGCTTGGCTCAAAAACGAACAACCTCGCAGAATGGACACTTGTGTCAACTTCATAAACATAAGTTATTATATAAGAAGATCAGAGAGTTCTTTATATGAAAGAAGAAAGTTGGAAAAGATACCAGGTATATACGAGGTGTGTTCAGAAAATAACGGGAATTGTTAAATTTCGCGGCTTCGGAGGGTCCGGTTGTCATAAAATTTTCTTTACTATGTTGGTATACATGCCCCCGAAGTATGATAAAAACTTTAGCTGTTTTCATTGTTTACTTTGTCTGTGGCAGCCGCTAAGGCTAGACGTGTTTTATCAGCTCGGCGATTTTTCGTTCGTTAAAAGAAATGGATCAAAGAATTTGTATCCAATTTTGCTTAAAAAATGAAATAAATTCTGTGAAATGTTAACAAAGGCCTATAGCGAGTCTGCTATAAGTAAAACAAGAGTTTACAAGTGGTATAAGAGTTTCCAAGATGGCCGTGAATATGTCGAAGATGACGAACGCCCCGAACGCACAAGCGCATTAACAACCTATAAAATCATGGAAAAAGTGGAAGAAATGGTTATAAACCATCAGAGAAGTCGCTGATGATGTTGGTATATCGATTGGCTCATCCCATGAAATTTTTTCGAATGTTTTGGGTATGAAACGCGTGGCAGCAAAATTTGTTCCAAAATTGTTAAATTTTCAAAAACATTTTTGGCCAAAAACAATACTGTAATGATGCCCCAGCCTCCATATTCGCCAGAAATGCCACTGTCTGACTTTTTCCTATTCCCAAAAATAAAGAGAACCTTAAAGGGCCGTCGTTTTGCAAGCATAGATGACATTAAAAGCGCATCGCTGAAAGAACTAAAGGCTATCCCAAAGATCGAGTTTTAGAAGTGTTTCGAGTATTGGAAGAAGAGCTGGCACATGTGCATAATATCCAATGGGGACTATTTTGAAGGCGACAACATTAATGTAGACGAATAAATAAATATTTGTTTCAAAAAACGAAAATCCCGATATTTTCTGAACACACCTCGTACACACTCTACCGATTTGTTTGTATTGATAAACAGTACGTTGCCTGGCAATGCTTTTCAAAACAATCGACCATCTAATGCAGTAAGGGTGCGTGCGGGTACCACAACAAACGTGTTTCATTTTTTTCGTGTAAATATGACGTATTATAACGATATAGATACTTTTTTTCACATGCGGAATCACTACAAAAAGTTAAAGAATGTTAAGAGTACTATAGATACTTCTCCTCCTAAAGCTTACAGGAAGCAATCTCCGAATAGAGGTGGGAAAACTTACAGAGAATGGTGCACCAAGGTTGAAAGGTAATTTTTTGTTTTTGGTTAAAACATTTCATAACTTTTAATTGATTGATTAGAAAAAACAGCGCCTCAAGATATTCTTTGGATTTCTCTCCAACGTCATCTCCATTGAGATCGTCGAGATCATCAAGTGAACCTAGGCTGTGTTTTTCCAAAGAGCAACCTGATTATATGGACGAGGTATTAACACACTCTTTATTAGGGTGATTCATTTCCGCAAAGTTTTTGTTTTCTTCGGTGCTAAAGCAAAATATTAATCTGCATATAGAAAAAAAAATTCTCAACAAGTTTGAGCTCTTAATATAAATTTTAAGTACTTACTATTTAAATTTAAAGTTTTACCGTTTACAATGCATGTAAAAAATATTTTTTTTTTTAAATTTCTAATGCTTACCCACCTTTGACAATATTGCAAATCGGTTTAATACACCTTATGGGGAATTTCACGCTCTTTAAAATTGCTTTGGTTCACCAGTAGGAGTCGCCAAAGGACAGTTTTTGAAAAAAAATCGTTTTTTTTTTTAATTTTTTCTAACAAACCGCAAAAAGTAGGGAGAAAAAAGGGCTGAATCATAAAAAAAAGTTATCCAACCAATATTTAATGAATTTACAGCCATTTTTATAACTGAAAACGTAAGAAATTGATAATTACCAACTCATAATGTTATTTAGATTGATTTTTTCTATTTATTATCATTATATTTCCCTACACTAAGAAGTTTTTAAAATTATTGATTTCTCACTTATACTTAATGAATATGAAAACGACAGATAAATTCATAAAAAAACAATAAGAAAATTGTAACGTGGATTTTGCAATTTTTCAACATTTCTGTCATATAGCAAAAAAATATAAATGAAGATTATTTAATTTTTTGAAGCGAAATTTGAAATATGTTACATAACCTTCTGTATATTCCGATTAAAGTTTTGTTGTTTTTTTATGAATTTATGTGTTGTTTTCATATTCATTATGAGTGAGAAATCATAATAATTTAAAAAAAGTTCTTAGTGTAGGGAAATATAATGATAATAAATAGAAAAAATCAATCTAAATAACATTATGGGTTGGTATTTATCAATTTCTTACGTTTTCAGTTATAAAAATGACAGTAAATTCATTAAATATAGGTTGGATAACTTTTTTTTTATGAATCCGCCCTTTTTTCTCACTA